CTGGGAAGTCTGAACCCATATTGTAAACAGTCTAGAATACTTCGCTGGCCTCAGCACGATCCTGAGGCCCAGAAAGATGGTAAAATGTCTCAGAATGTCTCTACCTGCTGGGGCTGGTGAGTTCTAATTCCTAGTTCATTGCTTGTTTGGGGACAGGTGAACCACCCTTCCCATACTCTCCTGCAATGTTCCCTAAGGACCTGGAAACACATGGAGTCCAGGAGTTAGGTGCCCTGCAGGGCATGGGAGGGGGGGGTCCTTCGCATCATAAATAAGTCCCCCTTGAATACCCCTGGTGTAGGGACTTATGTACGGTGTTGTAAGAATGACCCTGGTCAGGTTTCCTTGAGGAGTGGTGCTCAAGGATGTGGAAATAATCGAGTGCCTGTTGAGGATGAATAAGTCAAAAAAAATGTGATAGATAGATGATAGATAGATATAGATACAGATAGTCTGTGGAAAAGAATGTTATTCAGCCTTTAAAAAGGAGATCCTGCCATTTGCAACAATATGGGTGAAACTGAAGGACATTATGTTAAGTGAAATAAACCAGGCACAGAAGGACAAGTACTTTATGATCTTACCTATATGTAGAATCTAAAAACAATTGAACTCACAGAAATAGAGTACAATGGCAATTGCCAGGGACTCGGGGGTGAGGGAGATGGGGAAATGTTGGTCCAAGGGTACCAAGGTTCAGTTATGTGGGATAAATAAATTTTGGAGATCTAATGTACAACACAATGACTATAGTTAGTAATATCGTATTGCATACTTGAAATTTGCTGAGACAGTTGATCCTAAGTGTTCTCAGCACATGAAAAAGGAGTCATAACTATGTGAGGGGATGGATGTGCTAATTAGCTTGACAGTGGTCATCACTTCACAATGTATACATATATCAAATCATGTTGTACACCCTGAATATATATGATTTTTATTTGTCAAGTATACCTCAATAAATCTAGAAAAAAAAGAGAGCAAAATGGAAAAAAGAAATAAAAGTCACTGAATCTCTACTATGTGAGTGGCATCTTGCCACATGCTTGCATACACTGTCTCATTAAATGACCCCAACAACTCTGATGTGGGTGCTCATTTCCCCATTTTATAAATGAAGACACAGATTCAGAGTAGTTAAGGAACATTGTCACTCAGCTAATCAGAATGCCAGGATAAAAACCCAACTCTGAATGATGAAAGAGGCTGGCTTCCCAAATAGCATCAATTGATGTAATTAAGATTTTAAAAGCCTTTTTCATAAAAACATTGTTATGTCCAATGAAGAATGCTTTCCCAGCCTCACAGGTGATGGCGCTGCCAGTATCACGCAAGAGCCATGGAAGGAAAAAAAAATCATTTTTCATAGCAATAACACATTTGCAGAACAAAATGCTGGCTATTAAAATATTCCATGAACAGTATATGGCTTGACCCGATATCTCCCACAAACATTTACAGTGAAGTGGGCATCTGATATTTGTTGCATGCCTTCAAAGTTCCCTTTGGTTTGTCACTGGGACTCTGAAAATAACCCAGTTCTACTGAATTATTGATTAAATCCAGGTCATTTGCAAACTCCAGCTGAGGCTAAAATGCTCAAGGGCTGCAGAAAAACCACCATGAAAGATAAGGAGAGAAAGAGAGAGAGA